TTTAGCTTTATCAGATAATACTGCAGTTCTGATAGACGATTGAAATGACAGCTGTTTCTTATTTTCTGCTGCAGAGCAACGTGTTCTCTCAGTGAATTTTATTTGTAAAATCACCACGTTTGCAATGAACCCTGCCTTTCACCAGAGATAAATGCTGTCTCCATAAAGGCATCACACAGTATGCACATCTAATTTCTTCAGACTCTTGGGATTACAGTAATTGAATGGAGAATGACACATATTCCTGTGCCCAACATATCATCTTCATGAGCTAAGACAAAGATCCCCCGTATAGCCTTTAACAGACTGTAGGGCAAGTGCTGTTCTCGAGCCCCTATGAATGCTGGCACGGTGATGGGTTTGTGGATAGGGGTTCCCAGGACCCTTTCACTGCCGATTTGTAGCCGTGGCTGGGAATGAAACTCGGGTCACTGCTAGTGAAGGTGCACAACGTAGTGTGCAAGCCACAGTACCACCACCCCCTCATGCAGAATGCATCGAATCGTCCAAAAGCCACACGTTTGCAAACGACAGTATATTGTTTACATGATTCAGCAAGTGCAGTTTAATGGAGCATGGTTATTGCAGGCACTTCCATTTTCCATTCACCAATTTTATGCTTACCTTTGTTTTAAATCGATGTTTGGACCATGCTTACTTGTGGATTCGAGCTTTTGTCAAGGGCATTAGTCGGCTTTCAGCAAGGAACGCACTTAGGAAAAAAAAACATGTCTTGCTGTTATATGGCCTAGTCAGCTGTTTTCCATGACGTGACATGTCACGCAGATGACTACCACCTCCCTTCAGTCGTCACAGGTCGTTCTGTCCCTTTGGAGATGCGAATAATAATGTTGGAACAAGTTATAATAGCGGTTCCTGGAAAGCACGACATTTTAAATGGAGTGTGTTGCTAACTAATACAAACTTTAACAGATCTGTCAATAACACTACATTAAAAGGACAAACTATATATTTCAGGTGGCTTTTGTGCAATTGCCCTTCTTCATAGCACATCCAAAATTAGTTTGGCTATAATAGTTTACTTTAAACTGAACACATTTTTATCGGTTACGTTCGGTAAATGCAATTCTTGCTTATATTCTTTGTGTAAAATGCCATTTAAGATAATTATGGTACTGAACGTTTCTTATACTTTTTTATAGTACAGTAATTGCTGAAATACCTGTTTGGCAGTAGTGAAAAGGATCAGTTAAAAGTGCTGATTATCAATGTCATGAATTCGGGCATTAAAGTTAATTCAGTGGCTCATTAAAACCCAAGCCAGATGTAAAACATTACAAGCAAGCCATGATTTAGAATGCAACTAAAAGCAACGAAACATATAATTAAACGGCTACATTTTCAGTGTCACAGCATATCATTATTGCAATCACGCAAACACTCATTAATTGGTTGATAACACCTTCATATGCAGAGGACCGCAGAACTTGGGGAGGAAATTTGGCACCAGCTCAGTGCATGGCTGCCTTTCCTGCTTGCCCATCGCTCCTCGCGCCTCTGACTCGTTCTCTCTCTTTTAATAGCGAGTGAATACTGTGCGTTGACGTATTACAAGTTAAATTTCGATTTAAAGCTTTCGTGACTGCAGGGAATCATCTTCTTGGTTCTTTCGGTAAAGTCACGTAGAAGGGAAGTAATAAAATAATAAAAATAAAACATAAGAGTCTACTCTATCGCCTCGACGGACCTGGTTTTCACCTGAGGACGGCTGCTTGCGTTGTGGCCGAAACGTCGTGAGAATTGTTTTATTATGTTTTATTTTTATTATTTTATTACTTCCCTTCTACGTGACTTTACCGAAAGAACCAAGAAGAGTATTACAAGTTGATGTATTATTATAAACGCCGTATTTGTTTTCATATCTAAGCATATATTAGCCATTGTGATTCAAGTTCAAAAACATTGTTTAAAAATCATCTCCAAAATAAGCACGACAATGATGTGATTGTAGGTTACATTTCAAATGCAGCAGAGTTTGAAATAAATCACATTTTAAAAGTAAAATTACATACAGCACACTTGTGAATAAACTGAGTCACCAGATATAGTCCGTGGGCAAGAGAATAATAACCCAGTACCACCGAAAGTAGCAAAACTATCGTCATTCCGATGTATAACCCCACTGATTTCAAATTATTATCACATCTTTCGTGACTGCAGGGATTCATCTTCTTGGTTCTTTCGGTAAAGTTACGTAGAAGGGAAATAATAAAATAATAAAAATAAAACATAATAAAATACAATTCTCACGACGTTTCGGCCACAACGCAAACAGCCGTCGTGAGCATTGTATTTTATTATGTTTTATTTTTAGTATTTTAACAGGACCCTGCGGGGTGGGCTGGTAGGAATAATACTTAGTACCGGTACAGAGATATCGACCAGGTATAGAACAGAGATATCGACCAGGTATAGAGGAGTTAAAGAAAAAATTACTGTATTCTAGTGTAACGTTAATTAAAAGTGTTTGTTTTGACAAGAAACGCTGTGAGATTTAAAGACTCGTAGTCTTTCATTTCCAACACCACCCTCAACACCACCCCTCCCACGGACGGACGGACGGACAAACGGACGCGGACGGACGGACGGACGATATCATCTATTGGTGGTCTGGTCCACTTCGTTCCTACCAGTATTATTTCCCTTCTACGTGACTTTACCGAAAGAACCAAGAAGATATTATCATCATCATTCACTGTTGTTGGCCACGTCACGAAATTGGGACTGCTAAAGTGATGCCACCTCAGCTGAGACTGACAAGTGAAATATCTCGTCTGGACTCAAGGACTAACACAAGTGACATCATTTCCTGAACTATATTCTTTGGGCGGGTCACCACTAGAAAATTGATTCTTAATTCAATAGGCCTTACCTTAAATAAACCGACTGGCTTACTTACGGTGGTTCAGTACAACCCTGCAGCATTACGTTGTGTGTAAAGAGAAAGGCCATACGGAAACTCACACGGGGGCATGACACAGTCGGTGTTAAAACAAACTTTAAAGCAACTTTAATTAAACCCTGAACAGAACTAGTAACGATTGCTTTCCTCTCTCGGGCATTCTGCTCTAGATCCCATCGTCCCCCATGCAGGAATGGCTGCGACGCCCATTTCTTAATTGCTTAATTGCCACTGGTATTAAATATTGTACCAAATTAATTCTATACTTGACGATGTCATTATAGAAGGGGCGCTGAGCTTTCCGTGGGGTGCGGGGAACAGCCCCCTCCAGAGCCCCCCCCACCCCCCACCCCCTCCAGTGCCCCCACCCCCTCCAGTGCCCCCACCCCCCTCCAGTGCCCCCCCACCCCCCTCCAGTCCTCCCCCACCCCCTCCAGAGCCCCCCCACCCTCTCCAGTGCCCCCACCCCCTCCAGTGCCCCCACCCCCCTCCAGTGCCCCCACCCCCTCCAGTGCCCCCACCCCCCTCCAGAGCCCCCCCCCACCCCCTCCAGTGCTCCCCCCCACCCCCCACCCCCTCCAGTGCCCCCACCCCCTCCAGTGCCCCCACCCCCCTCCAGTGCCCCCACCCCCTCCAGTGCCCACCCCCCTCCAGTCCTCCCCCACCCCCTCCAGAGCCCCCCCACCCTCTCCAGTGCCCCCACCCCCTCCAGTGCCCCCACCCCCCTCCAGTGCCCCCACCCCCTCCAGTGCCCCCACCCCCTCCAGAGCCCCCCCCACCCCTCCAGTGCTCCCCCCCACCCCCCACCCCCTCCAGTGCCCCCACCCCCTCCAGTGCCCCCACCCCCCTCCAGTGCCCCCACCCCCTCCAGTGCCCACCCCCCTCCAGTCCTCCCCCACCCCCTCCAGAGCCCCCCCACCCTCTCCAGTGCCCCCACCCCCTCCAGTGCCCCCACCCCCTCCAGTGCCCCCACCCCCTCCAGTGCCCCCACCCCCCTCCAGAGCCCCCCCCCACCCCCTCCAGTGCTCCCCCCCACCCCCCACCCCCTCCAGTGCCCCCACCCCCTCCAGTGCCCCCACCCCCCTCCAGTGCCCCCACCCCCTCCAGTGCCCCCACCCCCCTCCAGTGCCCCCCACCCCCTCCAGTGCCCCCACCCCCCTCGAGTGCCCCCCACCCCCCTCCAGTGCCCCCCCACCCCCTCCAGTGCGCCCCCCCACCCCCTCCAGTGCCCCCACCCCCTCCAGTGCCCCCCACCCCCTCCAGTGCCCCCCCACCCCTCCAGTGCCCCCACCCCCCTCGAGTGCCCCCCACCCCCTCCAGGGCCCCCCCACCCCCTCCAGTGCTGCCCCCCCCCCCCCCTCCAGTGCCCCAACCCCCCTCCAGTGCTCCCCCCACCCCCTCCAGTGCTCCCCCCACCCCCTCCAGTGCCCCCACCCCCTCAGTGCCCCCCACCCCCTCCAGTGCCCCCCCACCCCCTCCAGTGCTCCCCCCCCATCCCCTCCAGTGCCCCCCCCACCCCCTCCAGTGCCCCCCCACCCCCTCCAGTGCCCCCCACCCCCCTCCAGTGCTCCCCCCCACCCCCTCCAGTGCCCCCCACCCACCACCCCCTCCAGTGCTCCCCCCCACCCCCTCCAGTGCTCCCCCCCACCCCCGCCAGGTGCCCCCCACCACCCCGTCCAGTGCCCCCCCACCCCCTCCAGTGCTCCCCCCCACACCCCTCCAGTGCCCCCCCCACCCCCACCCCCTCCAGTGCTCCCCCCCCCACCCCCTCCAGTGCCCCCACCCCACCCCCTCCAGTGTCCCCCCCCCCCCTCCAGTGCTCCCCCCCACCCCCTCCAGTGCCCCCCACCCCCGTCCAGTGCCCCCCCCCCCCCACCCCCTCCAGTGCTCCCCCCACCCCCTCCAGTGCCCCCCCACCCCCTCCAGTGCTCCCCCCCACCCCCTCCAGTGCTCCCCCCACCCCCTCCAGTGTCCCCCCACCCCCACCCCCCTCCAGTGTCCCCCCACCCCCCTCCAGTGCTCCCCCCCACCCCCTCCAGTGCTCCCCACCCCCTCCAGTGCCCCCCCCACCCCCCGACACCGCAAGGGCTGGCTCAGTATCTGCGAGGGAAGATGGTCTTGATGTACGGCTCCAGTAGGCCATGCAGCTCACTCTTGCGCTCGAGGGCACGCTCGCTCTGAACAACGCGCGGAATGACTTCATTCATCCGCAGCAGAGCGATCTCCCTCTCCACTTTCACCTTCATCACCTGAGCACACGAACACGCATGAGCCGGGCGATGAGAGTGGGTTTTGTTCGGATACGTGCCGTTCATCTGATTAATGACTGCCAACCATCACAGTTTTACCATGTCTAGTGGTTGTCTCCCTGTTACAGGTTGAGTCACAAACCGCACCTCTCCATAACAAAGGCTCAGCCTTTGTTATGCAGTCTATTCTTAGTCTTAAGCCTCACCTTACCATATTAATAAAAGTATGCGGCCCTTGCCTCACCATCTTCTCCAACCATTATATAAACGGAGTGGTAGCTCCTGCAATCTCTCATTTACTTGATACAGCTGTCGTGGCTGTGACGGTACCACCTGAAGACGGAAGCTTGTGTTGCCTCCGAAACGTCGTGATTTTTATTTTATTTTACTTTTTAATGTTTTTTACCTACGTGACTTTACCGAAAAAACCTTAGAATAAAAAACAAATACAAAGACAAATGTCCTTGCAAAAAAACGTTCATTCTATACTCACGAACGGGTGAAAGGTGCAGCCGTGCAATTCCTTGTCCACTCCACTGCTCGTGGAAGGGCCTCGAAGAGAGAAAGCTCGATGGAGCATTCCCCCAACCCTCTAAGAGGGTATTACTGGTAGGAACGAAGTGAACCAGCCTACAATAGATTATATCGTCCGTCCGTCCGATGTCCGATTAGGTGTAGCAACATCACCCCCTAATGCAAACGCTTGGCAGGACCCTAAAAAAACCTTTAGACTCAGTGAGGCTTTCCTGGCTAAATAAGTGTAACATTCCCTTATAATTCCCTGAGATAGTTTTTTTAATTCCCTGAGATAGTTTTTAATTAAAACATTTTAATTAAAAATTAACTCATTCCTTGAGATAATTTTTAATTAAAACATTTAAATTAAAAATTAACTCACAGCAGCCTAAAGCCTACAGCTAGGCCTAAAGCCTAGAACTAGACCTCAAACTCTCCCTTCGTATCGTATTTGTTCGTTCCTACCAGCCCACTCCACAGGGACCTGTTTTTGGTCTACCCTTCCACACGCTTGTCGAGGTGGGAGTAGCCACACTTTACCCCACCACACGCGTTTCGCCAAATCGCCTGTGGTGTGTACACGCTTATACATGGTGCTTCAAAAATGTGTTAACACTTCTGAGAATTTGCAACATTGCCACAAGAAATGTGCCTCCGGGCTCTGGAGACCACGTGGAGACGAATCCAGTCACGTGTTGACAATGATGGCGAACAAGTGGACATTCTGAATTCTTTTTGAAGCTATGAACATACATTTGTTATCATATTACAGTGTATTATTCGTTCTTTTTCCAGTAAAAACGATAGTCCCATATAAGTGTTAATCATTTTTTTAAGCACTCTGTACTGTTGGGTGGACAGAGGCGATGTGGTCTTATTGTTTCAAATGCCATACAAGGCGTTCAAATGAGCAACATCGAATTGGATGAACGTTTATATGCCATTAATATTTTGTCAAATGATTGCGCTTAGGATGCAGTGCATATGCTTTAATTTGATAGGCTAAATGTGATGGATTACGAACCAATCACAATTATAATCACGCGAATGTAAAAACCAATGCGTAAATCACTGCTCATGAGGCTGTTAAATAAACAAATCCCACGTGGAAAAAGACTGTTTACAAATACATTTTGATGATAATTATCCTATCTATAGCTCTTCTGCATGGGAAACGAGCAATTTTTTCTTAAGACTACAACATGTTTAGAAATGTTAATTGGTCGTGGGACTTTGTTTTTCATCGGAGCAGAAATCACAATGTAATTACTTGGTAAGAGCCTCAAATTACAGCAACAAATTTAATGTTGTCAAGTCGAATGAGGCATTAATATTTTAATTGTGTCACGCGATATTTAGCCGGTAATTGCCACATAAGTGCCCCAAACTTACGACGGCCCGAACACCCTTCACCTCCAACTCGAAAATTAATGTAGAAATATCACGTGACACTTGTGTGTAATCAGCTGGAAATTCTAATCTTGCTGACTTGGCTACTGCAACCACCGTAATGGGTTTTACAGGGCGATTAAAATGTAAATAATTCCCCTGATGCTGAGATGTTGTTTTAATTATTAAAAGGCTCCACACAAAACACTTTACACAGAAACGTATTGTTCTTATACACGAGATACAGCCACAGGCGCAGGTGTGAGGGGGGCAAATTAACCTCATGGCTCTTGCATAATATCCGTGATGCGGTAATTTTTAGTCTGTTGATGGTCGGCGATGCGGCAATCGACTCATCTCGACGAGCTGTACACGATGCACCAACATGGTGCTTACGAGCCTTCAGGGGTTCAGAGCAATCGTCCTCGCTGCGTTTCGACATCGCGGAGTGGCACCGATTTCGGATTGATTGGTACCCCAGTCGCGGAGTTAAGTACACCCCTGGACAAAAATTGTGTCCCAGAAATAAAATATTTAATTGCCTCGGCAATTTTGTATTAATTGGCACCCCGGGGTACCGCCATCAGGATCAAATGTTGAGTTTGTGAAAAAGAGGATGTGGATTTCTGTTTTGCTGTGGGTGCAAAAGGTAAAACAGGACATACAGTCAATACTCGTGCCTTTAATTATATTGCCGCAGACATGCTGCGCTTTTACGATGATTATAAACGAGACATAAGCCATGAGGGGTCGTTCCTGGGAAAGTCTGAAGCAGCTCAAGTCTTGTCCCAAACAGAAGATGTGTGTCTATGTTGTGTGTCTCTCTCTCTGTGTGTCTCTGTGTGTCTCTCTCTGCTTGTGTGTCTGTCTGTGTGTCTATGTTGTGTCTCTCTCTGTGTGTCTCTGTGTTGTCTCTCTCTGTGTGTCTCTGTGTTGTCTCTCTCTGCTTGTGTGTCTGTCTGTGTGTCCCCGTGTCTGTGTGTGTCTCTCTCTGTGTGTCTCTGTGTTGTCTCTCTCTGCTTGTGTGTCTGTCTGTGTGTCTATGTTGTGTGTCTCTCTCTGTGTGTCTCTGTGTTGTCTCTCTCTGCTTGTGTGTCTGTCTGTGTGTCTATGTTGTGAGTCTCTCTCTGTGTGTCTCTGTGTTGTCTCTCTCTGTGTGTCTGTATGTGTGTCTATGTTGTGTGTTTCTCTCTGTGTGTCTCTGTGTTGTCTCTCTCTGCTTGTGTGTCTGTCTGTGTGTCCCCGTGTCTGTGTTTTGTCTCTCAAATTTAGCAATCTTTGGAAGAACGTAATCAACCAGGTAAGGTGCTGACTGTTGTGTCAGCCGACTCTCTGTGTTGGATTGCATTGTATTTCTAAGTTCACTAGGTTTGTTTTCTACGTGATGACGATTGCTTGTGTTGCGATCGAAACGTCGCATTCTATTATTTAATTTATTTTCTTTCTACGTGACTTTACCGAAAGAACCAAAGAGTAATTCCTGCAGTCACGAAAGCTTCAAATCAAGTTTGAAGATGTGACTTTGGACCCCCCTTCTGCAGACCCACACCACTTCCGCATCCCTTCCCATTTTATCTCCACGGATGCAATAGTACATTTTACTGGCTTAGCTCATGCTATGCCAAGCAATATGTCTATTGATGGTTATTTATCAATGTTTGCGATATTTGCTCACAAAAACATGGCCCTGAAGTTAAGCTACGCCAGAGATGTTGTTTCGTTTATAACCATCAAATACCTCGTTTAGTAGTTGTCCAATACATCAATATTGCTCCCTGCAATATTTATGCGTGTCGTTTTTGTTATTGTTGCTGTGCTCACACACCACAGATCACCATGGTAAAATAGCCGGGGAAACTGGATGAATGGGATCATCCGTGAAACAAATCGAATAAATAAATAAAAAAACCTCAAACTATTAACGGTATATTCTTAGGTTTTTTCGGTAAAGTCACGTAAGTAAAAACATTAAAAAGTAAAATAAAATAAAAATCACGACGTTTCGGAGGCAACACAAGCTTCCGTCTTCAGGTGGTACCGTCACAGCCACGACGGCTGTATCAAGTAAATGAGAGATTGTAGGAGCTACCACTCCGTTTATATAATGGTTGGAGAAGGTGGTGGGGCAAGGGCCGCATACTTTTTATTAATATGGTAAGGTAAAAAGTATGCGGCCCTTGCACCCCCACCTTCTCCAACCATTATATAAACGGAGTGGTAGCTCCTACAATCTCTCATTTACTTGATACAGCCGTCGTGGCTGTGACGGTACCACCTGAGGACGGAAGCTTGTGTTGCCTCCGAAACGTCGTGATTTTTATTTTATTTTACTTTTTAATGTTTTTACCTACGTGACTTTACCGAAAAAACCTAAGAATATGAATCATTGCAGTCACGAAAGCTTCAAATCTAGTATTAACGGTATGTGTCTGTTTCATGTGTCTGCTGAATTGGACTTCCACGGTAAACTGGACTTTTATGGTAAACTGGACTCCAATGTTAAACTGGACTCCCATGGTATCGTCACATCTTTCCGAGGGAGGCCCTGGTGAAAACATTTCAGTTTACTATATATAATTTCTTACACGGATTGTCTCATGTAGCCAGTCGCATGGTTATTTTACGAGAGGCAAAACAACTCAGAGTACAGGGTCCTGAAGGAATATTGCGCACAACTAACAAACAAGGTAATTAACGCAGGTCGTAAACAAAATACACGCGAATCGAAAACAAATGCCAACATCTTCTTGGTTCTTTCGGTAAAGTCACGTAGAAGGGAAATAATAAAATAATAAAAATAAAACAATAAAATTATTCTCACGACGTTTCGGCCACAACGCAAGCAGCCGTCCTCAGGTGAAGAACAGGTCTGTCGGAAAGACAGCGTCTGAATGAACACCACCAGGCTTGGCAGCGTATATTTAAGCTTGGTTGGAGGGGGAAGAGCGCCTTGACAAAATAATTTGCATATCAAGAGGAATTTAGCATATTTATGAGAAATGTGGCCGAAACGTCGTGAGAATTATTTTATTATGTTTTATTTGTATTATTTTATTATTTCCCTTCTACGTGACTTTACCGAAAGAACCAAGAAGATGAATCTCTGCAGTCACGAAAGCTTTAAATCGAAATGCAAACATAAGAACATGAGAGCAAGAGGCACCACAAAAAAAAAACCAAGGTGCAATTACAAGTGAGCTTCGTGGCCTGGAAAAAGTGGGCTGCGTGGCCCAAGTGCAGCTCGCAGGCCCGCTGGTGGGAAAGGTTTCGGCCTCTTCGCTTGGTTAAGCAATCGGGCCAGTGGGCCAGTCATCGGAATGCAGCAATGCCGGTCTGCGTGCACGTTGGCTCTTGTACACGGAGGTCCAGATGTCTTGTGATCCCCATTTAATTCTCTGAAACTTAATATTTTTTATTATTATTACGATTACACGCTTTTATTTAACTCACTCTGTTGTTGTTGTCGTTGTATCCTCAAATCTTGTAACTCAATTTTAACCCACTTCCCAATGTGGTATCGACTGAAAACTTGGTATACTTATGTCATACTGATGACAATACTATATTCTATCATAAAAAAGAAAAAAATATTTTTAAACGCTATTTTTTATATGTTATGTTTCGGCTTGGGTCTAATTGTCCACGGTCAACTAATGTTGGCTGTAATTGCCCACAGTCCCATACGTTATGGCAAGCTTCGGGGCCACTTCCTGGAGTCGTGGAGTTCTTCAATTACGAGTACATTTCATAAAAGCGTGTTTTTAAAAATGATTTTTTATACTGTACTAATGGGTGTGAAAACAAAAAATGAATAAGCAAAGGTAAAACAAAATGTTAGGGATCAATTAATTGTGGGTCACGAGACATCAGGACCACCTTGTACATGACAAACTAACATCTTTATACAGCACATGTGAAATTAGCAATCTGTCGCGTTTTAAAATAACTAGCATTGTTTAATCAAAATATAAACTATCTGAATTTGCAAAATAAATAATTACGAAATATATGTGGCAGTAGAGTTAGGCCTTAATCCAATATATTTACAAAGGGATACAAATTTATTTTAAAATATAAGTAACATTTTTCCATTATGTATGTTGAACTTATTTTGCACAGTTCGTAACCAACCGTGCTAACCATGCGTATGTAATATGACCATCACTGTAGCTACGTGTGTTTATAAGACTAACCTGAATAAAGCATTAATCATATTTTTTTTGCAATTTATTTTATTTCCGGAAGCAGCGGAACCATATTTGGCCAAGGCTGGCCCAGAGAGCACGCGGTTTGTACCTGGATGTATTTTGTCCTTGCGTGCGTGGCTCCGTGCGTGACGATGAGAATGGCAAGCGCTTCGCACAGGAAGGTGTGGGCATCTTCATAGAGGGCCGAGCCATAGCAGAGAGCGCCAGCCCTCACGAACGCATCCAGTAGCTGTGGAGACTTTGGGTGGCACACGTCACTGCAAACGCACAGAGGTCAGCAACAGAGACAAAGTTGACCTCCGCAGGCAAGAAGAGCTCTTGGCGTACAGCGGCTGGCATGGCGCACAGTAGGGTAGGGTGGTCAGTACTATGCCCTGCCGCATTTGTATCCCCAAACTGGACTGGGCCAGGTACTCGTGTTTAAAGGCTGATTCGAGCCCAGGGGAAGTCCACGCAAAGTTTATATAATATCCATAGATGATTTGCGAGAACAGGAATCAAACTCAAGTGGCCGCGTTAGTCGTGATATGTGAGTGACACACAGAGAGAGAGACACACACACCGTGGCAATTAGGAATATCACAAAGCAGCTCAATTCTTCTGGCTGTCCACAACATCCTGTCAAGCGACCTAAAGTTGTGGCTGATAACATACGTTTGCTATATATATGTTACACAGACCATATAATGGGACATACAAGCAAATATTTCACACATAAGACTCATTTGTCATGAGAATGAAGGTGAAACTCACTGACTCTGCGGGCAAGTGACAACTGAAGTGAAATCTGTTTGTTGGAGTGACCCAACATAATTTGTGCGTTTTACTATTAACAAATTGCAATGATATTCAATTGCATTCGGTTGCTTGGAATTTATATTCAACAGCAAGTTATTTATGAGCTCGTCGGGGTTGAGAGGTTGCGCTGTTGTTTGCGAACTGCATCAGCTACGAACCAGGCGACCTCAGTTTGTTCCCTGGCTTACGGCCATAAGTGGCAAGTGACATCTCAACGGGCAAGTGACATCTCAACTGGTCCTGGGTCCCCCTTCACCCACCCACATTGACCAGCTCGGTGAAGGTTGGTCAAGCAACCACCATGAATTGACAAAGGAGGAAACATTGAAGAGGGGTAAACATTATTATGTTTTTTTTCGGTAAAGTCACGTAGGTAAAAAATATAACATTTATTTGCTTTCATTTTAATAGATTTTATATTTTTTACCTACGTGACTTTACCGAAAAAAACTGAGTATGGATCCTTGCTGTCACAAAAACTTAAAATCTAGAATCATGATTACGTTATTATTTTATTATTATTGTATACATAAGTCTGTGTCAGCCTTCCACACAGAAAATCTATCTGCTTAATTTGCCACGCTGGCAGGATGCCAAGCAGGACGAGGGAAAAAGGTAACCGTGACTGGGGAATATTATGTAGTGGGAAAAAAACTACTTTGAAATACTTTATACACTCGGAATAATTAATCAAACTGCTATAAAGCAAATCAAAGCAAAGCTGTGTAAAGTACTGTACTAAGAGTTTTTTTTCTAGAGTTTCATTTAAATCACGTTACCATTTAAAGCACTTCAAGTAGACAGGGACAGGTGGAGTGTCGCAGGATAACACTTGGCACTTGGGACAGAATTCGTTCTAAAAGCGATCTCTTTCATTCGCTAGCCTGCCAAAACATGTTTCTCTAAAATTATAACCTGTATTGAGTTAATGGCAAAACAAATCATTCATAAGTTATTTATAAGATGGGGGAAGAGGACATTGTGGAGACTAAACATAGCATTTTCTAACAGATCCATTCTCTGTGGATTATACGGTTCTTTGTCAGTGCAATGAGTCACATTTGAACATATCCCAGAGGTCCTAATTAGGTGATAACAATGATACACTTACAGGAGTGAGGCATACATGACTAATTGATATAAAATCTCAATGATATTCCTAAATTTAATAACAAAACTTCGATGAACAAAGCAACACCGTAAGCTGTGCATCTCTTTAAATTGGCAGCAAGACTCAGCTCTCGGGAATACAACCCAGTAGGGGACAGCGTAGCCTGGAACGTTGGTTGAGGAAATAAGCTCATTAAATCACGAGAGTGAGGCAGGAGCACAACACGCAGTTGCATTTTTCCAGCACCACACAAAGCTGGCATTGGTAAGAACACGTTCTGATTAATCCAGCGGTGGATCTTTATCTGATGATAATGATTTTATAATAAGTATGGTTACATGATAATACTTATGATAATTATTCAATAATCATGATTAGTTAATACTTTTGATGTAAAGCTTTCGTGACTGCAGGGATTCATATTCTTGGTTCTTTCGATAAAGTCACGTAGAAGGGAAGAACCAAGAATATAGTTAATACTTATTATAATTTGTGGCGCTTTGTCAATTCGCTGCGAGGTGAAGGCATCCGCAAGCCATGTCATTCATGGGCGTTTTTTTCTTTAGAATACTTCACCATGCTGGTTAGTGCGGGTAGGTAAGAGGGTCAATGTTTTTGTAATTTCAACTTGGTTCCTAAAAGCATCAAAATGACTCCTCGTTCATGGAAATGGTGAAGCTGCCTAAGTCTAGAATTCTCCTAACATACATGCATACAGATTAGTCGCTTATATAAAATACACCATACGTACATGGATGGTGCTCAAGCTTTAAGACTGCCACCTAACTTATTGGTAGGTTTCATGTCCATTATCGTAGGCTAAATGCGTCATGTAACGTGTCTATACGTGCCAGTAAAATTTGTAGCATATGAACAAATCACCAGGATTGCACCAGGTCTCATTAACATCTCGGAAGCTAAGCAGGCTTGAGCCTGGATAGTGCTTAGGATGGAAGACCACCGTATAGACGATATGCTGGTAAAGTAACCATGACTTAGAAAAAACACCATGACCTCACAGAGGGCAGTGCTGCAAGGTACACTGTGGTTCCGCACTTGCAATGCTTCCATACCTCTCCTCCCCGCCTTCACAACCCTGCACTGACCAGAGGCGTGGGGAGGCCCTCACCCAGTAGTGGATTGGCAATAAAGGGCTGTTACGTGTTCATGATGCCGGATGGATTACCGATAACCGGTCACAGCCCTGGCTGCGTAGATGGCAGCAATGCCGAGTTCCCGGTTGTGGGTGGCAGCCTCTGCCGCAGCGCTCAGCATCCTCAGGAGGTAGATGTTTGTGTCTGCGAGCACCGGCAGGTGTTTGTCCAGTGCCTCTTTACACAGGCTCCACACCTGTGGTCATGCAGAACAAAAAATATATTTCTAGATTTGAAGTTTTCGTGACTGCAAGGATCCATACTCTTTGGTTCTTTCGGTAAAGTCACGTAGGTGAAGATAAAAAGAATAATAAAACATAATAACATAAAATAATAAAAATAAAATAAAAATGGTTTAGTTATTGATTTAATTGATTTATTTATATTTTATGTGATTTTATTATTTTATTATTATTATCATCATTATTTTTATTTTCACCTACGTGACTTTACCGAAAGAACCAAAGAGTATAAAATATGTTTGTTGTATGCACGTATGTTAAAACTTTTTTTTTTTCACACCGGAGGTGCGGAGGAATAACATCAAACGGAACACACAAAAAATACAGACCAGCGATGCTCTGAACATTTTGAGTATGATTTTATGCCGCCTCTTACAACCTGCAGCAGCAGTTGAAAAATTGGGACAGGTTCCTTAAATCCCACCCGACAGTAGCAATACGCGCACCATATGATAATTGTTTTTTTACCCTTCTATCTGGCAACAAAACTGACACCTTTTTACAAGGAGTCATGTTTGCATAGACCCCAATACCTGCAGTCATAATACAAACAAAAGACATAACTCTGATAATGTGCACTGTCCTTGAAGAATGTGCACTGTCAAGGACAGTGCACATTATCAGAGTTGTGTCTTTTGTTTGTATTATGACTGCAGGTATTGCGGTCTATGCAAACATGACTCCTTGTAAAAAGGTGTCAGTTTTGTTGCCAGATAGAAGGGTAAAAAACCAATCATCATATTTTTACTGGCAAATGAGGTCCCCATAACGCGCACCATAGTTAGCCAATTGGAAGGTCGCACGTGGTGGCGTAGAGTGTGGATACTACCACCTCTTCCAAGACATTTGGCCAGCATGTTAGAGTTTGCCAAATGCCCCTTAGAAGGGCTTTCGAGAGACTCCATCTCTTGGAGTCGCCTTCTGCCAGCACTGGCATGATCAAGTAATTTCAGTGCTGCACCTCTATTTTTTTTTTTTACTTTAACTTATATCAGGATTGGGGAACCTACAGCCCGACAGCCTGTAACCACATGAGGCCTACCTCTTTAACAGAGCCTGCAAATCATAGCCACACTGATCGTGTATGAGAAGGGAATAGATCCGACCTGGAAATGGTAACTTTAGCCCACTCAAGTCACTGCAAGGGCCTCATTATTATTTCGGTGGACAGGCACATAATTCTACAAGTTATTATTATTGGATAATGCGAAGGCGTGTGTTAAAGTGTGGACAACCAAAGGTATCGTATTTCACGTCCTACAAAGGTCTGTAGTTAATAAAAGGTTCACACTTTTGTCTTTGATCAATGTATATATTCTTTTGCGATTAGCATATACATATGGTGTTTCAAATAAGTCGGGTTTTGCTTGTTATTAGTATCTTTCAAATAAATTGCTGACCACGATTGTGAATGTACAGTGTTTTATGAGTACGGTGTTTTAGGTACTTGAAGAGCTCATTAATTCAGAGAAAAATAGCATCGCGAAGGCAGATAAATCAGAGCAACGCAACGCAAAATATGCTCCATTGCTACGCGCAATTAAAGCTCACGTTACACAGTGTGGCTCGCCATGAATTACAAAGTACCAATTCTAGATTTGAAGCTTTCGTGACTGCAAGGATTCATATTCTTAGGTTTTTTCGGTAAAGTCACGTAGGTAAAAACATTAAAAAGTAAAATAAAATAAAAATCACGACGTTTCGGAGGCAACACAAGCTTCCGTCTTCAGGTGGTACCGTCACAGCCACGACAGCTGTATCAAGTAAATGAGAGATTGCAGGAGCTACCACTCCGTGTATATAATGTTTATAATGGAGTGGTAGCTCCTGCAATCTCTCATTTACTTGATACAGCTGTCGTGGCTGTGACGGTACCACCTGAAGACGGAAGCTTGTGTTTGCCTCCAAAACGTCGTGATTTTTATTTTATTTTACTTTTTAATGTTTTTACCTACGTGACTTTACCGAAAAAACCTAAGAATACAAAGTACCATTACATGAATTGGCAGTCATGGTCAGTAACCTTTATTGTCTGGCATTTACATTACCTCGTCCCAATGCCTCTCTGCCATGGCCATGTCAACCTTCCCAAGGGCATGTTTGGAGTCCTCCGCAACTTGCTTGGCATCGATATCTTTTGACTGGAAACAACAAACAACACGAGCCTTTCAGGATTATGTGTCCTTGGGACGACTGCCTGCTTTAATGGAAAGCATGTTTGCTTTATATAAATCAAGAGCTGTGAATACCCGAGCATTGTGACTTGCAAAATGTGGGAATTAGCTTTGAGGGTGACCCTGGTGTGGCGAGAGATGAAATTCTAAAAGGAATTCAATAAATGGTCAACAGTCACACACAATAGTAAATGGATATGTAAATTTGCCACGCAAGTTACAATTCTTAGCTTAAAATGCATCAGTGAATGAAAATGTTAAGTACATATTCCAGGTGAATTTGTCATAGGATTTCGATTTAAAGCTTTCGTGACTGCAGGGATTCATCTGATGATTCATCAGCGTCTTTCTGACAGACCTGGTCTTCACCTGAGGACGGCTGCTTGCGTTGTGGCCGAAACGTCGTGAGAATTATTTTATGATGTTTTATTTTTATTCTTTTATTATTTCCATTCTACGTGACTTTACCGAAAGAACCAAGAAGTTGTCATAGGATTTCAGCAGCTGAGCAAAGTGAAGCCTGGATCGTGCTTGGATGGGAGACCGCCATGCACACGCTGCTTGTCGTACGGTTACGGAGGGCGGTGCACTTAAATCACCTGCTGTTCTCTACTTCTAAGCTTCCACATCTGTGTTCCCTGCACCTTCGCCAACTCGCACCGACTGGCGCGATGAAGTATTACCAAAATAACCCAAACAATCCACACGGCATTGGGGGAGGGGGGGCTCATCTAGAGAACATGGATTAACAAAAGGTCCGGAAATGATATATTAGTGCACTTTATACAGCTGTCGTGGCTGTGACGGTTCCACCTGAAGACGGAGGCTTGTGTTGCTTCCGAAACGTCGTCATTTTTTATTTAGTTTTATTTTACTTTTATTAATTTAAAATTTTTACCTACATGACTTTACCGAAAAAACCTAAGAATATGAATCCTTGCAGTCACGAAAACTTCAAATCTAGAATTAGTGCACGAAAGTTTGGACAAGGCGTCACTTATGATCACGTCTGGCGAGTTGCGAACCTTGGCTGCGGTGAGCAAAGTATCTTGCGTCTGATCCTGACAGTGGACACAGTTGCACTCGAAGAAGTAATCTCGGAGCAAGAAGGCTCGGCGCTCCTGCGCCAGGCCGACAAAACTCAGGTAGGAGACGGTGAGCTCCTCGTCAGCGTTGATCGCTCGCATCACACGCAGCTCCGCCCTTTTGTCGAAGTGAAGTTTAGAGGCAGGGAGACAGGGACAAAAACAGCCTTTAGAGTAGATTTGATTTTAATTAGCACGCTTACCAAGTCGAATACATATTTTGCATGAGGATCCTCCCACGTTTTCAGGGGCTGTGTGTGATTGCATTTTTTTGCGTGGCAAATTTGGACCATGATGCCGCCACACAATGGCTTACTCTTGAGAATTATGTCACGGGATCTTTAACGTTCACTGTGACGTAGGCGGCGTGTATTTTTAAATCCTTTATATTAAGTTCACTTGCTTGCTTGCGTGCTTACGACCGTGCAAATCTTTCGGTCGTTTTTTAACCCACTTCCCTTGATCCAATCGAGCTGAAATTTTGCACACAGACTCATTGTGCGTGACAATTTATTTTCGTGAAATTTTTTTTCCAAAATTTTACACTTTTTAGGAATTTTTTTTTATATTTAATTACCAATTGCTTAATGGTGGCAGGCAATCATCTGACCCATAGGTGGCAGCCATCTCAAGCCAGACGACGAGAGGACTCTAGCCGCCACGCATATAAAGGATTTATAGTGAAAAACTTTGTTTTTACGGGTTAATTTTTTACAGTTAACAGATCCGCGGTATTAATCATGGCGGCCACGGGATTCGAACCGTGAACCTCTGCAACAAGCGGCGAATGCGCTACCGTCGGTCCATGTCACATGACAAGGTATGCAAATAATTTGTCAACCATAAGACGTGAGTAATTCTCCTGGCGAAGAGAGTCCAGTAAAGGGCTAATTACTGTATCTCTGGAAGACAAATGAATTACCGTATCGACGATGTGCTGGTAAAGTAACCATGACTTAGAAAAAAAACCATGACCTCACATGAAAAAAAAACACAACCTCACGTAAAATAGATGTCATGTTATTATACCACCACCACCAGCGCACTGAACAGCGTGGTGAAAATGTATCAAACGACCCCAATGACAGAAAGTAGCGAGGAGGCCTTCATCCAGCAGTGGACTGAGGACTTTACATGAACATTGCACTAACAACCACGAGACGGCAGCAGTGACCAGTCGGTAATTATTTATTTGGCGATGCATTGGCAGCGGTGCACATCAGAAAAAATAGCCAACGAAAAATTAAACACCTTTGTCAATAACACTGTGGCCCTAAAAAGGAAAAAATATATATTACAGGCAACGTTTCGAGCAATGGCCCTTGTTTATAGCACGTGAAATCACGTGCTATGAAGATGGGAATAAATGTATGTGCTATGAAAAATGGTCATTGCCTTTAACATTACATTGTATATATTCTATATTTTTCCTTTAAAGGCCATAGTGCCATTGACACATGTGTTGAGTTGACGGTGAGGTGGAAGGTCACCCATAGGCAATGCAGATTTCATTCATGGGGTAACCTTGATGAGGTCACACGTAACCGGGTGCTGAAGGGCAAAGCCGAATGTGAGTTCAAGGTCATTCATTTTATGCAGTTTTATTCAAGGTTGTCATAAATAAATAGATGCCCTGCCATTAGAATGGGCTGGTACGGGCTTGTGGGTAAAATGAAATGGATCTTCATTGGATAAATGAATCAAAAATCATAAAGGGTTTGTCAAATATACCAATTCTCGGGTATGTTAGAGGCAGTTTTTAAGAAACTGCATTCCAAATCCCAGCACTTGCATTTAGTGATAAACGGAATAAAGGTGTATATGCTAATTTACGTATATTTACTAATACACATCATATCTACACATATTTTAATTACATGAAACTTGAGTTGCATATTTTTTATAATTATTTGCAATAAGTACAGCCGTGCACTCTGATTCTATATGGGTTTATTCAACCGTGTCCTAAAGAACAAAGCGTTAATAGATATACTGTACTATGGGAACCTCATTTGCCAGTAAAAATATGATAATTGGTTGTTTACCCTTCTATCTGGCAACAAAACTGACACCTTTTTACAAGGAGTCATGTTTGCATAGACCGCAATACCTGCAGTCATAATACAAACAAAAGACATAACTCTGATAATGTGCACTGTCCTTGAAGTTTCCTTAAGGAAAGCTGTCTCGGGTGTGGACCAATCAACTTCAAGGGCAGTGCACATTATCAGAGTTATGTCTTTTGTTTGTATTATGACTGCAGGTATTGCGGTCTATGCAAACATGACTCCTTGTAAAAAGGTGTCAGTTTTGTTGCCAGATAGAAGGGTAAAAAACCAATTATTAGATATACTATATTTACGCACTAATCACACGCACAGCAACTTAAATACATAGGGATGCGATTTGTTTATTGATAGTTACATTGCAAGCTAATATTCTAACCAGCCATTAAGTACCTCCATCAGCTGAAAAATACAATTTCAGCACTAAGTTTGCTCTACATTTAAATTGTCTGCTTCATTGCCTTTGTGATTGACACTATGGGAACCTCATTTGCCAGTAAAAATATGATAATTGGTTTTTTACCCTTCTATCTGGCAACAAAACTGACACCTTTTTACAAGGAGTCATGTTTGCATAGACCGCAATACCTGCAGTCATAATACAAACAAAAGAACATAACTCTGATAATGTGCACTGTCCTTGAAGTTGATTGGTTCACATCCGAGACAGCTTTCCTTAGAGCCTCGTCTCACATGTGATAATGACGGAAAATGTTTCGCTCACCTTGCACTTGAGTGGAAGGTGGTTTTATTTGCTTGGCGGCTGCAAGACAGTTTAACGCACCATTTATGGAACATTCAATACATTGGGAGTCTGTGAATGCCTGGACCTTGTAAATGAAATCGCTCCGCAACAGGCCATAGCTTTTATCCTCAAATTAGTCTCATGTTAGCCTGGTACGAGTAAGTCAACGTGGTTCACCCCCACGTGCAGCTCATGATTCGATGATTTAACACGATTCAAGGCCGCTATTTATACCGAAAATCAATCTTATAAATGTTTGAATGCAGCAGCCGATAGAGGTCATGTGAACCCATTACATATGACAATTATTCATATTAAAACATCGATTCAATGCATGCATCCTGGGCGTATTGACATATTTAATCGAATGAATTATTAAACCTCTAGTTTGTAATCATGCCTGAATTAAAAACAAATATACAGTAGTGATATCTAAACACAGGAAGATACTTTCGCTTCACCAACGTGCACTGACCGACGTGGTGAAGTATGGTCAAACAACCCTCACGACCTACCCAGTGTGGTGAAGCCTTCATCCAATAGCTGATTTACAAAGGACTGTTTCCATTTCTTGTTCAATTGGCAGGAAGAAACAAAACCGAGTATAGCTCTAAAGTGTGTTTTGTAGGAATTTTGACAGATAATAACAGAGGCATGTTTATACCGACACATCCTGAGCCGGGACTTTTTTGCATGATTGAATATATATCAATAACCATCTCCGTCTGTGTAATCACATCCCGCATCATTGTTAATGCAATGCTAGGCAACACATCATTGGGTAGGCAATTATATTTGCTGGCACGGAAACAGAGACATTAATAAACCACGATTCCTCTCCATTTATTACCACTTAATGCCATGCACCAGGATTAGAATTCAAACGATTCCCCATGTGTGTGTGGTTTTTACCAATGACTGCATGCAACGTACTTTGGTACATACTGTGCTAGGAATACAAACCCTTAAGGAGCCATTTAACGTCCTCCATTATATTTAAAGCTCTGTTACGCATATACCAATACCCGCCATGGTGACGTCACCACGTAGCCTGTGCCAGACCACGTGCACTTTGAGGACCACGTGAAGTGTCGATGGCTCGCTGACAGGTCACGGGACATACCCAGGTGGCATGGGTTGACTGACTGAGATGACTGGCAGATGCACCACCTGTGCCCCCTATTGTGTTATGTATATGAGAGATATATCACTGTCATCATCAACATCGTTACCACCAACACAACCAAAATCTATCCAGAATATTTTTTTCTTTGGGTTAGATCGCATCAATATAAATGTGTCGTTAAACCCGCCACCACCCGACACAGCCAATTAGTAAGGTTTGTCGCGTAAACAAAACATGCAAATTAGTTGCTAGTTCAGGACATCGGTGTGATTGAGAGTAAACCCACAACATTCACAATTTGAGTACGACGTTTCGCCGGTAATTACAACCAGTCTCATCCTGCATAGGTTTTTCACACTCGTGCCATAAAGCTCTCCGATGGGTTTTCTGGTTGTGCCGCGCATTGCTCAGCAGAATGTCCTTTCCTTAAGAGGCTCCCAGCACGTGGAGCAAAACGTCAGACATCCCACCGAACAATACCCGTGGTATAAACTTGAAAACACGCACCGGAGAATCGGTGCAATAGAAACGATATCAGAGCAAACTCTTTAAGGAAGAAAAAGCCTGAATGGACAGTGTGAGATATTAATAGCAAAGGCACGGGAGTTGGTCACCATAAGGTTGGCAGAGGTCTGATAATTAATAGGAGGCACCACAGGGACATTATGTGGTTGGGTGGGTGAGGCATAAATCATGAGACAAAGCTATCCAGAATGAAGCGTTTTAAACCTAAGCAGCAACCCTTGAACACCCAGAGGTATTCAGAACCACCTTCCAATTCCATGTCTATTGTCTCCTCGTGGGATTCCATTTGCTCGGTGAATTACTTTCCATTGTCTACATTTGTCTCCACTTACGTTCCAACTGTTCGTGTGAAATTACGAGAAAAATACATTTGGAATACGCACAGCTGTCAGTGCACCACCCTGTGTTAGAGAATGGTCCTGGAAACTGGTGTTAAGGTGACTTCACCTCACTTCTTAATCCACGTTAGGAGCACACATTTGAATGCCCGATTTATAACATGTCAATCAGGCTGAAATGTTTAGGACTCAGAGCTGGTACTTATCCAAATAAGACGGCTAACCGAATGCTATATTAATGTTGTACAGTCATTGATAATTATTGAACCGAGACCATAAACTCATAACACTCGAGATCCCAGTTTGATCACGGCGCGGCTGAAATGCAGATTCAAACCCAGGATCTTAGTGGCGCTGGCTTGGTGCTCAGACGCAAATAGCCACCCGGTCAACTCTTACTTTCCGTTGTTGAAGGTCACGCAGCAATTGGGCCAGCAGTCGTGATTAAGCAGGCTGATGGTTGGAAAGAGGCCCACCCCCATGGCTTTGACACCACTCTGGTCTGTCAGGATGAGGCTGTTGAGGTTTACCTGCAACAAATCACAACACGACACAGTGCTTCTCTCGTCGAGGTGCACAAACCATCACGCAAACTCCGGCCATCCTCGCAGCAGAAGCGGATTTTTGATAACCGTCGAACAAAGACGGTTACCGCATCGCGCGCTTTCAGATGCGCTTCTGTGGCCGTCTGGAACCCTCTTTCTTCCTATATTAGGAAGCCCCTGGAGCTATGCATTTTTAAATTTTATTTCTGATGACGATTGCTTGTCTTGTGATCGAAACGTCGTAGTTTTTTGTTATTTTCTTTGAACCTATCTACGTGACTTTACCGAAAGACCCAAATAATATAAATTGAAAACGAATTTCTTTAGAACTGCTTTTTGTGTTTAGTTTGTTGTCCTTCCCCCGCACCTCAGATTAGCACGGTTGGTTACGTACGGTGCGAAAGAAGTTCAACATACATACAGCAGACAAGTCGTTAGGGTTGTTGGGTCATACTTTGCCACGTTGGTCAATGTGGTTCAGTGATGGCAGCGATAATAGATGGCAATGTAGCCCCGTATCAGCCTATAGCACCTGTATATGCACGATGGTTGCTTAACTAAGAGCTATCCATGCTGCTTAGTTTCTGAGATATCATGAAATCGGGTAGTTTTGGTCATGGGCAATGACATTCATTCAAAGGTTTATTATATCCAGCACTGATTTAAACAACAAATGTAATGAGAAATAGCATGAGTACCTTAGTCTTGGGCTCACAAACAAGCAGGAACAATTGGCAAAAGCATGTGTTAAATAATCAAAACGCTAAAATTACAACATGAGTTTAAGACGGCTATGCAGCAATAATTTCACGACTTACCTCTTCCCAATCCCAATGATTAGATGAATAATCCACGTCTTGGGGTCACAATTCCCTGCCAGAACCGATCTCTTCGTGTCCCGTTTGCGTTCTCGCGTGTACCCCCTCTCATTTGGTCCATCTCATTGTCGTGTTTCGGTTCGCATTCGTCTACCATTTGCATTTAATGTCAAGGCATTGTTCATAATAAACGATTTCACGCGCGATTACACACGCGTGTACAATGAGTATATGAATGTGAATCCAATCAAAGAGTTATTTAAATTCGTACAGTGCGGTATTCATGCATTTTTTGTTAAAGTTGACTGTGTTTGCTAGGGTTCACGTAACCTCGTGTGAATTTTCTCTTTACGAGCAGAGCTGAAGCAGCTTTGGTTTAACATTAAGTTTAACGCCGGCATATAAAGAGGGGCACTCGCTATTTTTAGTGCCTTCTCTTGGCGCAACTTTGTCCCTGTCAATTTGTGAGCGCGCCAGTGAATCCCTGGAGCAGGCTTAGTATCTCCCGCATTGCATGGAATCGATTCGCGAAACAGACGTGGGCTTCCTACGTTTGTAAAATGCTTTTGTGTCTCTTGCTCGAGTGGTGGCACTTTAACTCCTTCCCGTTCCGAGACGTCTGCAAGTTTGCAGGGTGGGTGTCTCGTTCACCGCTGAATCCCAGAACGCGCAAGCGGTTAGCATTAATTTTATTTAGAGAGGTATAGCCCCGCTGTTTTTAAACACATTCCTGCAGAGGGAGCTGGTAGGAACGTTGGGTTGCTTGGTCAATGGCCAGGGTCAACGGCGGCGTGGTGTATTCCGCAAATATGGCCGACTGTGAGGGCGGACACAAGCCGGCGTGAGTAGGTTAAACGTTGAGTTTTATAAGGGCACCACGTGGTGACCAGCCCCTCCCCACCCAGCCCCACCCTCCCCACCCAGCCCCTCCCCACCCTCCCCTCACCACCCAGCCCCTCCCCACCCTCCCCTCTCCACCCAGCCCCACCCCTCCCATTTTTGGATGCACGACGGACGGACACAATATTCCCCTGTGGGCTGGTGGAACCAGGTGGTTCCTACCAGTAAGATATTGTACTCGCCGCAGAGAACTGTCGCGACACGACCGCCCTCTACGATAGCCACACGCCTTCCCACGTGGCCTTGTGGCAGCCTCGGTACTGGTAACGTTCTTTGATTAGTTTATCTTCCGGTTCCATTCCGATTCCGTACATCATTTGCATTTCATCAGTACATGTACGTCATCAGAACGGGAAAGGGTTTTAATAGTATTCTTACAATCTGAAGCATCTGCAGTATGAAGGCTGTGTCGAAGTGCTTTGATGCCGCGGGGCAGAACTGCAGGCACGCTGTCACGTCTTGCTCCATAGCTTGCCGTTCGTCATTGCTCAGCCTCTCGATGTGCGTTTCCAGCCGATCTGGAGAAATGATTTCGCCCTCTGCTCCGAAAACACTGTCCTTAATCGCCCGCCTCAAAATACGGGCCACCAACCTATTTAAAAGGATAATGACAACAACAACAACACATTGTGAGATCATACCTCCGATTAGCGGGGTTGGCTACGTACGGTACGAAAGAAGTTCCATATACGTGTGCATACAGAAAGCAGCTCGCGTGCAGATGGATTGTTACATCTCGGGAGCATGAGAGACGGCGAGGGCTTGGTCAGACTTTCATCCAACAGTGTATTGATCCTAGATTTGAAGCTTTCGTGACTGCAAGGATTCATATTCTTAGGTTTTTTTCCGGTAAAGTCACGTAGGTAAAACACTAAAATTAATAAAAGTATTGATCGTGGCTCATGATAATGATTATGTAAGGTCCCATCACAATAGAGGCCTACTTCTGTTTGTGCACAATTGCAAAACTAATTGGCACGATGCTGCATGGCATGGCGACACTTATCCGGCTGTCACAAATCCGCCCTGACGCAGTGCAGTCGTTGGGCAACTGCATCTTTCTGCGGATGTTCACTATTGTATTCTTAATCTCGTGTACATTCGCCTTTAAATCACGGTAAATAATTATCCCATCTTCTCGGTTCTTTCGATAAAGTCACGTAGAAGGGAAATAATAAAATAATAAAAATAATACAATAAAATAAAATTCTCACGACGTTTCGGCCACAACGCAAGCAGCCGTCCTCAGGTGAATAACAGGGCTGTCGGAAAGACAGCGTCCGAAGGACGGCTGCTTGCGTTGTGGCCGAAACGTCGTGAGAATTGTATTTTACCGAAAGAACCAAGAAGATGAATCCCTGCAGTCACGAAAGCTTTAAATCGAAATTTAATTATCCCATTTCGATTTAAAGCTTTCGTGACTGCAGGGATTCATCTTCTTGGTTCTTTCGGTAAAGTCACGTAGAAGGGAAGTAATAACATAATAAAAATAGAATAATTTTATTTTATTATGTTTTTTTAAATTATTTTATTACTTCCCTTCTACGTGACTTTACCGAAAGAACCAAGAAGATTAATTATCCCATGTTTAAAGCTATTTCTCTTTTTGGCCAGTAACCACGATGGTGTTAACTGAGAATGTTGTCCGACCCGAGCACGTAAGCACGACCTTTCAACATATCCACCTATAACCTCAGTCTTCAGTAAGTCTGAAATGCGACGTTGACCATCTCACATCTCATTACTGGAACTACAATACCTCAGCAGTGCTGCCTATACCAAGTCTGTGTGCGTGCTGCATACAGCAAGCAGGCTACGCAGGGGTTAATAACAGAGAACCCAGCCCACTTTGCCAAATGCGAAAGGCCCAATTCCTCATGACGAGGGAGGAGCGGCTACAACAGCTAATGGGAATTTAATGTAAATTACTGATCAGTTATATAAGTGAATGTCTCTCACACCTGGCACTGGAAACATAACAAGAGCATCTTTAATCCACGAAGTAGATCGTTCATTGGATGCTCTGCTGGCTTGTAATAAAAATAGCATGCTGTATTGTACATGTGTACATGTGAGTGCATGCATATCCCATTAGTCAATCCACTGCAGTCAATCCACTGCTGGATGTTGGATGACCGTTGTTTGATCATACTTCACCGTGCTGGTCCGTGCGGGTTTTGTGAAGGTGGCAGGGAGCATAGATTTTGTAGCAGAGTACAGTACAACATAACAATAGATTTTTCGACACTGCCCTCTGCCAAGAATGCAACTCTGTAGCAGCACCAGCATCCTAAAAACCTGTGTGTGCATGGTGGTCACGCATCATCCGAACACTATGCAGGCCCAACGCATGCTTAGCTTCCGAGATCTGACAAGATAGGGTGGGTGAAATGTGGGTAATCTGTTCAAAGGCACTGGACTATATATATTTAATTATATATATATATTTTTAACTACATATTTAGAATCCACAGTATTATATAGTATATGATACCTTCTGCCATGGTTATCGTAGCAGTAACTTTCGATATAGGAATTGCTGCACAACGTTGAGTAAAGTGTTTGCGTTCGTTCGTATTTAAGCACAGTGCGTTTCAGAATCAGAATAATTTCCTTACACTGGTGGAATCCGATGAGCAATGTAAGCTCTTTTTCACAGATGTCCAGGAGGGAACATGTAACCTGCGTTTCCCTTCGCAGTGTGGATTAATGAAATCACATCGCGCAAATGTTCAAAGGTTCTTATATTCGTTTCGCCATGGCAACTCGGTGTCAAATGGACACGCGGAATGCTCCCAAATGCCTGGAGCATTATGAACAGCTGCGGCCACAAGAAATGTGACGTCTCATCAGCTGCGGCCCCAATAAATGCGACGTCTCATCAGCACTCCCTTCCCCTTCCCCTCGCTAAAACAATTCAACATCGTTCATCACGAGTATTCTTCTTGTGCGAGCTCGAAAATCGCAAAGGTGCGCACGTTTTCCGATTTTGCGACATCAAAGTAATTACATGAGACATCTTCTTGGTTCTTTCGGTAAAGTCACGTAGAATGGAAATAATAAAATAATAAAAATAAAACATAATAAAATAATTCTCACGACGTTTCGGCCACAACGCAAGCAGCCGTCCTCAGGTGAAGAACAGGTCTGTCGAGAAGACAGAGTCTCATTCTGCAGGGATTCATCTTCTTGGTTCTTTCGGTAAAGTCACGTAGAATGGAAATAATAAAATAATAAAAATAAAACATAATACAATAATTCTCACGACGTTTCGGCCACAACGCAAGCAGCCGTCCTTAGGTGAAGAACAGGTCTGTCGAGAAGACAGAGTCTCATTCAGACTCATTCAGACTCTGTCTTCTCGACAGACCTGTTCTTCACCTGACCACGGCTGCTTGCGCTTGTGGCCGAAACGTCGTGAGAATTATTTTATAATGTTTTATTTTTATTATTTTATTATTTCCATTCTACGTAACTTTACCGAAAGAACCAAGAAGATGAATCCCTGCAGTCACGAAAGCTTTAAATCGAAAAATCCATGAGACCTGTTAACAGGGAAGGATAATTTGCCTGCAGTAAAAGTGAAGATCCTGCAACCAAAAATAGAGCCACAGTACAGGGTGGTCCAGATGTCTTGTTACCCCCAAATTAATTGCCCCCTAACATTTGTGTTCCTTTGCATATTCATTTCTGTTTTAAATTAACCTTAATTGTAAATGATTACGTTTTAGAGAATGAAATGGGGGGTGGGGGGGGGGTCACATGACATCTGAACCACCCTGTCGGCATATCGTGGTGGTACGCGTCTCCGCGTCGATTAAACAACAACGAAGTGCTGTACATGTACTCTGTTATTTAGTTCTTATCAGCGAGCATGCATACCCGCGTACCAATGAAATGAACCCCTGCTTAAAGTAAATTTAAAATAACGGCGCTACGAGACGCGTAGAGGCCCATTTCTTCATCAGCATCGGTGGCGAGAGCTGCAGCAGAATGCACGACGGACCACAGCAGACCGCATATCCTTGCTCAGCCTGTTCAGCACTCCGCCTGTGTCAACGTCTGTTTCACGTTCACTGCGTCGTGCGCCCCCGTTATTGGGTTAGGGGTCGTCCATAAATGACGTCACGCGATTTTGGATGATTTTTGACACCCTCCCCCTTCGTCACACGACGTCACAAAAAGTCAGACCCCCCCCCCCTCAAATATGACGTCACAAAGCTCTGCCCCCCCCCCCCCCAAATATATAAAACATGCTTCAAATCGCTTTAAACTATTGTCATTGTAGTGCGTATTTAATGTGGCACTGCACTCTGATGTCGTAGGAGAAAACATTTATTAAAAAGTCTATTTAATTAAGTAGAACGTGTTGCCTATATTTATTTAAAGTTGCGCATTTTGATGTGACGTCACATTTCTCAACCCCCCCCCCCCCCCCATTCTCTCGTCACACATCGTCACAAATGTCTGACCCCCTCCCCCCCCTAGATGCGTGACGTCATTTATGGACGGCCCCTTATTGCCCTGCTCCCCCCCCCCAATCACCACAGTTAAGCTGCAGCAGTCTTGCTCCCTCCTCCTCTTCACTACGAGTGCATGAATGGGAATGTCAACTGGGAAGGCCGTCTCGCAGGCGTGGGATTCCCAGAGCCTCATGAATAGCTGCGCGCAATCCAACCAATGCCACGTCCCCCATTCACACTGCGACAACTGTACAGTCATAATAATTTTCCTAATCGTTTAACAATTTTTTTGAAAGTGCACAGTTGTTGCGTCAATCTTAGAGAGAGAATGATTGAGAGGTGCGGGAAATAATATTAATTTTTATATTGCGTCATTCATGCTAATAGCATGACGACGAACGAGTTTAAGCTCCTCGGTGCAACGATGTGTGCTGTGATGGGTCACTATAAAGAGAGATGAGATCAAGAACAAGGGCTGCATGGCTGAAATGGTGAGAGATGACTGGTGTGGTGTGCGATAAGAGGGTCCCAGTTGGGTTGAAGGGAAAAGTGTGGAGTGTATAGTGTAGTGTATAGTGTAGTGTATAGCGTAGTGTATAGTGTAGTGTATAGCGTAGTGTATAGTGTAGTGTATAGTAGTGTAATGTATAATAGTGTAGTGTATAGTGTAGTTTATAGTGTAGTGTATAGCGTAGTGTATAGTGTAGTGTATAGTGTAGTGTATAGTACAAGACGGTGGTGAGGCCGGTGCTGTTGTATGGGGCCGAGTGCTGGGGCACAAGAAAGAGGGAGGACCGAGCTATGTGAGTCACAGAGATGAGGATGTTGCAGTGGATGTTGGTTTTAACAAGGAAGCACAGGGGGGGGGGTGAGAAATGAAGAAGTGAGAGGAAGACTCAAGGGGGTATAAATCACAGATAAGATGAGAGAGAGAGAGAGAAAAGACTGGTGTGGTTCGGTTATGTGGAGAGAGCAGAAAAATGATGTGGGTTAGAAGGTGCAAGTGATGCAAGTGGAAGGAAAGAGATCAAGAGGAAGGCAGAAGAAGAGGTTGGGGGGGGGGGGGGGTGATGTAGTGCGATGGGACACGGTGGCCCGGGACAGCGTGGAGAAGGTTGGCAAGGACAGCGGACCCCACGTGAGTGGGACAAACGCGTGGAAGAAGAAGAAGAAGATCCATGCTAATAGCATCCCATAACGCAATACATTACATTAATTAGATATAAGAACCAAATCCAATATACAGCCACTATCAAGAAAATGAAACCCCTACCACCAAGCAAAATCTAAAATGAATAAACTAATTAAGAAACGGCACCAAAACGAAAATCGCAAACAACAAAAAAGTTTTCACAACAAAGAAATTGGTCCCTTAGGTCTACACATCATAGACCACAATCTCAACCAAGCCAGGAAACCTTCACAGGAGGGGCAAAAATCACAGATACGCGGGAAGGCAGCCAGACATGGCATCAACAATTCCCCAAGAGCTGTTGGTCCTAAAATGGAATGTTCTGGCGAATACCCAATCGCGCATGCGGGTAACAATCAAAAGGGCGCCGTGGTGGCGAGATGTTAACTCTCTCGCCTGGTATACAGGAGGTCGTGGGTTTGATCCCGACCCTGATGCCTGTGTATTTGGAGTTTGCATGTTCTCCCCGTGGCCGCGTGGATTTTTTTCCCGGTCCTCCTGTGTTTCCCCGACACATTTAGAAACATGTGTTTAGACTATTTGGCTGCTGTACATTTCCACATGATAAGCCACTGTGTTGAGTTATCATTTGTGGCCAGGTCGCTTTCTGAAAAAGAGCTATATAGCTCAGTGGGACTTACCTGGTAAAATAAAAATGTTTGTTTGTTTAAAACCCCGCACAGATGGAAACCGATTTAAAACGGACTTACATTAAGCATGCGCTGATAACGTCACAAAGGGCTCGGAGCGGCAGAAGTCAAAAGCTTTCTTACCGAACGTTGTCCGTGGGCAGGCCGCAGCTCTGCATGTCGGCGCACTCCAGGCTGTGTTGTGGCCAGCCTTCTTGTCGGCACGTCCGATCGCAGTAGAAGGCGAAGCCACAGCGACCACACCGCAGCAGGTTTTGGCCAGAGCGGAAGCAACTGTGGCAAACCTGAGTAAAGTGGCTTTAGAACGCCGGCAGAGAGACAACGCCAGGCCGTGCCAATGGATTAAAGCAGAAACAAGTATAAGCCGTAAAAACAAAGTTTTTCACTATAAATCCTTTATATGCGTGGCGGCTAGAGTCCTCTCGTCCTCTGGCTTGAGATGGCTGCCACCTATGGGTCAGATGATTGCATTGCACCATTAAGCAATTGGTAATTAAATATAATATTTTTGTCCTAAAAAGTGTAAAATTTTGAAAAAAAATTTCACGAACATTAATTGTCACGCACAACGAGTCTGTGTGGAAAATGTCAGCTCGATTGGATCACGGGAAGTGGGTTAAAAAACGACCGAAAGATTTGCACGGTCGTAAGCAAGCAAGCGAACTTAATGTAAAGGATTTAAAAACGCACCAGCATGTCCAGGTGCGTAATCCATTTGCAGGTAATAAAGGCGCAGCCCTGCAAATGTGTGCGCATGCCACTGCTGGTGGAAGGGCCTCCACTAGAGGTGGCTCTGGAGAGCCCCTCTAAAGGGTGTTTTGGCCAAGCCTTGCACGCAGGCCAGACGACTTGGAAGAGGTGGGAGTACCCACACTTTACCCCACCACACGTGACCTACCGATCGACTAATTGCGGCGTGTTTATTGTTACCGCTGGGTGGGCGGAGGAATTTAAGGAAACTTGCACCGTTGTTTCAACCGCTGTAATGGCCGGTCGAACCGGTGACCTCTAGTGTGCTGACCTACACCACGGCCTTGACATTTGCAGGAGTAGAAGTGTAATATTTCAATACTTAATCACTGCATGAAAAAAAAATGGAGATCGCCCATTCATTAAAAATGTGTCATTTTGGCGAAACAAATAAGAGAGAAAATGGTCACTCAGAAATGCAGTGTGGTTGCCATGCCAACTAGTTTTTCATACCTACACTGTATTAATAACAATTTTACATATGTTGCGGAACAGTGGCAGAGTGGTTAGCGATCTGCACTATGAACCAGGCAATCTGAGTTTGATTCCGGGCCACGGCTAACGTCAGTCACGAGCGACATCGAAAACCGATTCTGGCACACCCGCCACTAACCCGCAATGACCGGCGTGGTGAAGTATGGTGAAATAACTCTGCAACCCGTACGGCATGGCGGAGGTCGTCATCCAGCAGAATATTGTTAGGTAAGTGAAATTCAACAATGTATCGAGGTGTATCTCTTCGATGTGTTTTCGGGTTGCACCGTTTGTTCTTCGGCACGTTGTCCGACGTTTGGTTCCATGTGCTGGAAGCTTCTTCAGGAACTTATAACCAGAAATTCAGTTCTTCAAAAAGCTCCCAGCATGCGAAGTGAAAAGTTGGGATGTTGTTCTACAGAGTTTGAGAGAGTGGCGTTTGTATGTTCTCTCCCTGTTCTCTAAAGTGCGAGTGAGTGCGTGGAGTTTGTATGTTCTCCTCTTCTGCAGAGTGAGTGAGAGGAGTTTATATTCTTGGTTCTTTCGGTAAAGTCACGTAGAAGGGAAATAATAAAATAATACAAATATAAAACAATAAAAAATTCTCCGTGAGAATTCTTTACCGAAAGAACCAAGAATATGAATCCCTGCAGTCACGAAAGCTTTAAATCAAAATTTGAGATGAGTTTGTTGATCACAAGGCAGAGGACTACAAGCACAACCACAAAAAAAGCTATGCAAGTGGTATCGGATAGATCGGATGGTCGTGGTCATGATGATGACAGTAGTGACTTGTCATATACAGTCCACACGTATTGTACCATGTCAAACGCGACACCGTACCTGACAACATACCTGTCAAATGCCACTGCAGCGTAAGGCTTTGCTGAGAAGATGACGTCCCCGGTTTGGTAACTCCTTGTGGCCACCAAACAGCGTCCTTTCCCTGGCAGCGTCACAATCTTTAGCCCTTCCAGAAACATGGCTCTTCTAGCAATTGAGAAACCTGTTTTTTGTAAATAGCCCTAATGCCGCAACAAATGTTGATTTTTTTTAAAGTCACTCAACGAATAATGTTTATATGGCTGTCTGCCCCCTTCGACGAAGCGGCGTTCTCAGTTTGCCTGTCCCGACAGAATGCCCAAGGCATCGACAGCAAGGGCTCTATAGAGATAACAGCATCCGTATATTAAGCCAGCCACGCGCATTCAACACCATATTTAGAAGAGTCCTGCTATGGTGACCTACCCAAGGGATATGAAGTTGAAAGCGAGGTGGCCGCAGTGCTAGGCAACCCACAAAAAGATCCTAAGCCCCTGTCAGTATCACAATGTCTGCTATTTTCTTGTTAAGTTATGAGTGCAAATACCCCTCGGGTTTTAGATACATTTTATTACTGGAAGACACTTCAATTTTACACCAGTATAATTGCTATAAAAATAATGTTAAGTGTTGATGTTAATTGTTATGATGTTGTGTTTGGGCACCACGGTAGCGAAGTGTTAACTACCTCGCCTGGTATACAGGAGGTCGTGGGTTCGATACCGATCCCGACCCCGACGCGTCTCTGTTTGGAGTTTGCATGTTCTTCCCGTGGTCGTGTGGATTTTTCCCCGGGTCCACCGGTTTTCCCCTATACATTTAGAAACACGCGTTTAGAGTATTGGTTGCTATACATTTCCATTTGATAAGCCACATCGTTGAGCTATCATTTGTGGCCAGGTCGTTTCTAGAAAAAGAGCTAGAAAGCTCAGTGTGTTTTACTTGGAAAAATAAAATATGAACAAAAAATAATAAGAAAAAAATTGATGTCCGTATTTATTTTGTTAACAGACGTCCCTAATTTAGTAACACAGCACCTCACTCTTGTAAAGGAGTTGTATTTCAATATCACAATTGAGAGTGCCACGTGCCCCCCAGAGTAACACGGGAACATATCTGAAAAACTGCGCGCAGCCATTTAATAATACATTACATTGTCCATGACTTGAAACGGAATACGATCGCAGGTATATATCTCATTCATTTTAGATTTGGTAAAACTAAACTGCCTTTTCGACAAAGGTAACTGGATACGTCCAAAGCAGGCATTGTGCGCGATGGTAAACCAAGGTGAACCTTGGGCCCGGCCCGACGCTGGGCTTGGTGTTCTTCTCACACACACTAATGGCTCGCATTCTATTTTAGGCCAGAGAATGCGTGTTACCGAACAAAGCCCTTTGACATTGCGATAACAGCAGGAGACGGGCACGTTTTTATTGTTGCATTGTTTGGCTCGTCTACTTGTTGAGTAACGTATGTACGGGTAACAGTGCGTATCCGCCGCGCTTTGATGGGGGCATTTTCGCGCTTGTGCGGGCCTTGAAAATGATTTGACCATACTTCGCCACGCTGGTCAGTGCGGGTTGCTGAAGGCAGGGAGAGAATAGATGTGGAGTACAAGAATGGGGTTTTGCTGCACTGCTCTCAACAACCCACTGCATGGCCCCGCAGCCCTCTGGCAATCTGTTTGTGCGTGGTGGTCACCCATCCAAGCACTTTACAGATTTTAAAAAATCCTGGTTAGCTTCGGAGTTATGATAAGACCCGGTGCTTTCCAAGGTCATGTTTTTAGGTCATGTTAACATGTAGTCAAAAATATTTTCACTGATAATTCACTTGCTGAAATGCCTTAATACATATTTAAACAGCGTTTCACCACAAAACTGACCAGAAGGTGAAACTAATGCACACATATTGAGCACTAAGTTAAGACTGCATTGGTGCCAGCAAGCGTTGCATTATTGTCGACCAGAAATAACGTGAGCCAGAAACGATTACTGGGTTAATCTTCTGAAAATTATTTTACTGTTGTCATGAGCTGGCTTTCAAAAGTCTCTATGTACGAGATGTGCATTTTTTGTTTCACTACACTTGCTGAGGCTGCTATCGAGGAGTCGATTGAATTGTGGCTGCTGGTGCTACTGCCGATGACTCCTAACAGTACGCAGACTAGGTAGCATTGACTTCAACATGCATTCCTTCATCTCCACCAGTGTCACCCTCCAGCATTCCCCTGAACATTCAAGACTGCACGATCGGTGTTATTAACTGAACACTGTTTTTATTCAGGGTGGCAGTGGTATAGCATGATTGGCATGGGCGCTGCTGCAAGAAACTAAATGGTCACCCTCCCTATCCAATTCTGACCCCCCCCTCCACCCCCATCCTTCATACCCTGACGTCCGGGTTCCTCCAGCCCATGGGCCCCCGGTGCAGTTGCACAACTTACACCAATGGTGGCCAACATGCGGGCCGCGGGCCCATGAGGCCCCTCGTGGTGACCTGGTCTAAGTGTGTCTCGGGTGATGTGTGGGCTCATGATTAGCGAACAAGCACAATTTAAAGATTTGAAGCTTTCGTGACTGCAAGGATTCATACTCTTAGTTCTTTCGGTAAAGTCACGTAGGTAAAAAATGAAATTAAAATAAAACAATAACAATCACGACGTTTCGGAGGCAACACAAGTCTCCGTCATCAGGTGGGACCGTCACAGCCAGATTAGCTGCGACGGTTCCACCTGATGACGGAGACTTGTGTTGCCTCCGAAACGTCGTGATATTTATTGTCTTTATTTTATTTTAATTTCATTTTTTACCTACGTGACTTTACCGAAATAACTAAGAGTACACAATTTAAAGCTTGCGGCCCACTGAGGTGAAGGAGGTCCGCTCACGTGGCCCACTAACTCGTCTGGGTTGCCCATCACTGGCTTGTACGCTGGATACCTATGCCACTGCAAGATGGGACTCCTGTCACTGCAGCTGTTGCTGCTCAGTGAACATGTACATTTTAATGATCGATGACTATAAATTATAAAGGTGAATTTGCCACTGTTTTCCTCTCATTACGAAGTAACGTTTATGAAATTGTATATGCATGTCAGAACTAATACTTCTAATAAATATAATACGTAATCCACTGCTGGATGAAGGACTCCCCACACTATGGCAAGGTGGTTTATTGACCATACTTCACCATGCTGATCATTGCGGATTGTTGAACGGTGTGCCAAGATTCTTTTAAAATATAATTTCTCGCTGTTGTTTGTGCTCTAGAAGAAAACTCAGGTCACCAGGTTCATAACGCAGTGTGCTCACCATTGCTCCACATTCCATCCCCAACAATAATACTGAACAGTATGCTTTATTTGCAACTTTCTGTATTAAATGAAATTGTCATGGAATGTATTTGACATTGTATTGGCATTTCTACAAGCTAATGATAATATTTTTAAGTGCTGTGTGTCTGGCATTAAAATTCTCTCTAGCCAGTGAGAGCTCATGCTGGTTTTTCTCTCTTACATGAGGACATCTTAGCTTAACTTTCAGAAGATTAACCTGGCAATCTTTTCCACCCGTGTTATTTCTGGTACACAATTAGGCAAAGCTTGCTGGTACCAATGCAGCATCAACTGAGCACTCGACATGTTCGGCAATATGGTAATTTCACTTTAAAATCAGTTTTGTGGTCGAAAGTTGTTAAAATATACATTCAAGCATTTCACGGAGTGAATTAGGAATCTTGACTACGTGATGGCACACGCCTGTAATCCAGCACTGTGCAGGCAGTGAGGGTTGGCAGATAGCACAAATGTTGTGAAACTCCCTTCCCATCGGTGTCGAGGTGCCCTGGCTTTCCGGAAGGCGGTATAGCAAGTGAATCTCCATCTGCCCCATGTGTATGGGATATAGTGTTGCCCCCTCACATGCTGTTTATTTATTTATTTTAGTGCTGCGGTGTCCTCTCATATGTAGAAACACTTTCATTGGCTGAAAACGTCCTGACATATACAGAGGACTGCAAAACTTGGGCAATTGTTGTTGCCGGCTCACCGGCGGGGATGCTGCCTTCACGTTTGTCTGTGGTTCCTCCTGCCTCCGTGCGGTACACGATTGTAAAGCATTGTGAGATGCAAACTTTCATGAATTGACGCTCTAAAAAAAAACTAGACTTGATCTCGGAAGATAAGCATGTCTGAACATGGCTAATGCTTGTATGGGTGACCACCAGGTTGCCATAGGGCTGCAGGGCTATGTAGTGGGCCATGAGGGGTAGTGTAGCAAATCCTGTCTGCCTCGACATCTATACTCTCCCTGCCTTCACATGGTCACACAACCCGCCACGTGGGAATGCCCTCATCCAGCAGTAGATTGCCAAGAGGCCTGCACGTGTAGATGTTACCCATCAAGTAGGCAATCCAGATATAAAAAATAAGTGCAGTCTCCTGCACTTACCGCGAAGTGAAGTGCTTAGTTTGGTCGCAGGCAATGCCCCTGGCCTTAAAATAGAATGCGAGCACAAGCCGTGTCGGTCACAGGGGTTGTTTGACCATACTTCACGCGATCGGTGTGGACGGGGGGTACAGGGCCAGTTTCAGATATCACTCGTCCCACACAAGTGCTGACCGTGGCTGGTAATCGAGCTCAGGTTACCGGTTCATAGCGCTGATCACTGCGCCAGCATTCCACCAAATTGCCTTCGTCATCCGATGAATATAGCAAATCCACGTACATTTTCACTTCTCTGCGCATCTGATATACCACACGTAACACTTGTCCGCACATACGATGACTCGTATGTTCAATTAGGGGCCGTCCACCTAGGGGGGGGTGGGGTCAGACATTTGTGACGATGTGTGACGAGGGGGGGGGGGGGTGAGAAATGTGACGTCACATCAAAATGCGCAACTTTAAATAAATATAGACAACCCGTTCTACTTAATTAAATAGGCTTTTAAATCAATGTTTTCTCCTACAACATCAGAGTGCAGCGCCACATTAGATACGCACTACAATGACAATAGTTTAAAGCGATTTGAAGCATGTTTTATTTTTTTGGGGGGTGGGGGGGGGGGCAGAGCTTTGTGACGTCATATTTGAGGGGGGGGGGGTCTGACTTTTTGTGACGCCGTGTGATGAGGGGGGGGGGGTCAAAAATCGTCCTAAATCGTGTGACGTCATTTATGGACGGCCCCTTATCCGCACATCCGATGACTCACATGCTCACTTATCCGTACATACGATACATCTCATGCTGACCTATCCGTACATATGAAAACTCACATACTCACTTATTCGCACATACGATAACTCACATACTCATTTTAGATTCGAAGCTTTCGTGACTGCAAGGATTCATACTCTTAGGTTTTTTCGGTAAATTCACGTAGGTAAAAATAAAAAAATAATAGAAATAATAATAGAAATAAAATTATGAATCAGGGTGATCTGATGACGGAGACTTATGTTGCCTCCGAAACGTCGTGATTTATAATTTTATTCCTATTATTATTTCTATAATATGTATTATTTATTATTTTATCCTCACATACTCACTTAACCGCATATTCATTTATCCGCACTCCCTTCAGGCTGACGTCACCCCCCAACCCCCACCGACAAATCGGTGCACTTAATCGAGCGTCGAGCCAACTCACCCCAAGGGCGTGGGGGGCGGGGGGAGCTCGTCGACACTACCGAACCGATCCGACGTCGCCTGCCGCTCGAGCATCCATTGCTCTCGCCTGGCAAGCCCAGAGTCGACGGCCAGAGAGGCCTCCTCCAGGAGATGGACGCGGCTTCGTCCTCTTCGCTCGCTCCGTCCCGAAGCCTCGTGACGCTATGAGCCTCCCACATTGACGACAACGGCAGCAAGCGAGCAAACGTCGACGGCCACGAGGACGAGCAGACGCTAGGGCGGCTCGGCATGCGCGGCCCCGCGGGCGAGGGCGCGCCCGAGACCGGGCCCGGCATCACGGGCCGGGGTGGCGAGGCGGGCGGGCGTGGCGGCGCTGGCCGGGTCCAGGGCGAGGGAGGCGGGCAGCGGTTCCAGGCGAGCGCGGGGGGCTCGTTCGATGTGCTCACGCTCGCCGTGGCCCTCAGGCGCATCGAGCAGAGCGCGCGGCCGCTCAGGGACGCGCTCGAGGTGGTCAAGCACATCGTGCGGTACGTGTCTGGCTGTGTAGTGTGTGTGTGGGGGGCTGTGTGGTTTGTAGGGCTGTGTGTGTGGGGGGCTGTGTGGTGTGTGTAGGGCTGTGTGGTGGGCTGTGTGGTGTGTGTGTGGGGGGCTGTGTGTGTGTGTGGCTGTGTGGTGTGTGTGTGTGGGGGGGGGGGGGGGGGGCTGTGTGTGTGTGTGTGGGGGGGGGGGGGCTGTGTGTGTGTGGGGGGGGGTGTGTGTTGTGTGTGTGTGGGGGGTGTGTGTTGTGTGTGTGTGGGGGGCTGTGTGGTGTGTGGGGGGGCTGTGTGTGTGTGGGGGAGTGTGTGTTGTGTGTGTGTGGGGGGCTGTGTGGTGTGTGGGGGGGGCTGTGTGGTGTGTGGGGGGGGCTGTGTGTGGGGGGCTGTGTGTGTGTGTGGGGGGCTGTGTGTGTGTGTAGGGGGCTGTGTGTTGTGTGTGTGGGGGCTGTGTGTTGTGTGTGTGGGGGCTTGTGTGGTGTGTGTGTGGGGGGCTGTGTGTGTGTGTGGCTGTGTGGTGTGTGTGTGTGGGGGGGGGGGGGGGCTGTGTGTGTGTGTGGGGGGGGGGGGGGCTGTGTGGTGTGTGGGGGGGGTGTGTGTTGTGTGTGTGTGGGGGGTGTGTGTTGTGTGTGTGTGGGGGGCTGTGTGGTGTGTGGGGGGGCTGTGTGGGTGTGGGGGGGTGTGTTGTGTGTGTGTGGGGGCTGTGTGGGGGTGGGGGGGGCTGTGTGGTGGGGGGGGGGCTGGTGTGTGGGGGGCTGTGTGTGTGTGGGGGGGCTGTGTGTTGTGTGTGGGGGGCTGTGTGTTGTGTGTGTGGGGGCTTGTGTGGTGTGTGTGTGGGGGGCTGTGTGGTGTGTGTGTGGAGGGGCTGTGTGGTGTGTGTGTGTGGGGGCTGTGTGGTGTGTGTGTGTGGGGGGCTGTGTGGTGTGTGTGTGTGGGGGGCTGTGGTGGTGTGTGTGTTGGGGGGCTGTGTGTTGTGTGTGTGTGGGGGGCTGTGTGGTTGTGTGTGGTGTGGGGGGCTGTGTGTTGTGTGTGGGGGGCTGGGTGTTGTGTGTGTGGTGTGGGGGGCTGTGTGGTTTGTGGTGTGGGTGTGTGGGGGGCCTGTGTGTTGTGTGTGTGGTGTGGGGGGCTGTTGTGGTTGTGGTGGTGTGTGTGGGGGGCTGTGTGTGTGTGATGTGTGTGTGGGGGGCTGGTGTGTTGGTGTGTGTGTGTGGGGGGGCTGTGTGTGTGTGGTGGTGGTGTGGGGGGCTGTGTGGTGTGTGTGTGTGGGGGCTGGTGTGTTGTGTAGCTTGTTTGGGGAGTGTGTTGGGGGGCTGTGTGGGGGTTGTTGTGTGGTGTGTGGGGGGCCTGGTGTGTTGGTGTGGGTTGGGTGGGGGGGCCTGTGTGTTGTGTGTGGTGTGTGGGGGGCTGTGTTGTTGTGGGTGGGTTGGGGGGCTTGGGTTGTGTGTGGGGTGGGGGCTGTGTGTTGTGTGGTGTTGTGGGGGGGCTGTGTGTTGTGTGTGTGTGTGGGGGGGCCTGTGGGTTGTGTGTGTGTGTGGGGGTCTGGTGTTTGTGTTGTGTGTGGGGGGGGGCTGGTGTGTTGTGTGTGTGTGTGGGGGGCTGTGTGTTGTGGTTGTGTGGGGGGGATGTGTGTTTGTTTGTGTGGGGGCTGTGTGTTGTGTTGTGTGTGGGGGCTGGTGTGGTGTGTGGGGTGCGTGTGGTGTGTGGGGGGCTGTGTGGTGTGTGGGGGGCTGTGTGGTGTGTGGGTGGCTGTGTGGTGTGTGGGGGCTGTGTGTTGTGTGTGTGGGGGGCTGTGTGTGTGTGTGGGGCTGGTGGTGTGTTGTGGGCTGTGTGGTGTGTGTGTGGGGCTGTGTGGTGTGGGTGTGTGTGTCGGGCTGTGTGTTGTGTGTGTGTGTGTGTGGGGCTGTGTGTTGTGTGTGTGTGTGGTGTGGGGACTGTGTGTTGGGTGTGTGTGTGGGGCTGTGTGTGTGTGTGTGTGTGGGCTGTGTGTTGTGTGTGTGTGTGTGGCTGTGTTTTGTGTGTGTGTGTGTGTGGCTGTGTGTTGTGTGGTGGGTGGGGGCTGTGTGTTGTGTGTGTGTGTGTGGGCTGTGTGTTGTGTGTGTGTGTGTGGGGCTGTGTGTTGTGTGTGTGTGTGTGGGGCTGTGTTGTGTGTGTGTTGTGTGTGGGGCTGTGTGTTGTGTGTGTGTGTGTGTGGGGCTGTGTGTTGTGTGTGTGTGTTGTGGGCTGTGTGTTGTGTGTGTGTGTGGGGCTGTGTGTTGTGTGTGTGGGGCTGTGTGTTGTGTGTGGTGTGTGGGGCTGTGTGTTGTGTGTGGTGTGTGTGGGGCTGTGTGTTGTGTGTGTGTGTGTGTGGCTGTGTGTTGTGTGTGTGTGTGTGGGGCTGTGTGTTGTGTGTGTGTGTGTGGGGCTGTGTGTTGTGTGTGTGTGGGGCTGTGTGTTTGTGTGTGTGTGTGGGGCTGTGTGTTTGTTGTGTGTGTGTGGGGCTGTGTGTTTTGTGTGTGTGTGTTGGGCTGTGTGTTGTGTGTGTGTGGGGCTGTGTGTTGTGTGGGGCTGTGTGTTGTGTGTGTGTGTGGGGCTGTGTGTTGTGTGGTGTGTGGGCTGTGTGTGGGTGTGTGTGGGGCTGTGTGTTGTGTGTGGGGGCTGTGTGTTGTGTGTGTGTGGGGCTGTGTGTGTTGTGTGTGTGGGGCTGTGTGGTGTGTGTGTGTGTGGGTGTGTGTTGTGTGTGTGAGGGGCTGTGTGTGTTTTGTGTGTGGGGCTGTGTGTTGTGTGTGGGGCTGTGTGTTGTGTGTGTGTGGTGTGTGTGTGGGTGTGTGTGGTGTGTGTTGTTGTGGGGGGGCTGTGTGGTGTGGTGTGTGGGGGGCTGTGTGGTGTGTGTGTGGGGGGGGCTGTGTGGTGTGTGTGTGGGGGGCTGTGTGGTGTGTGTGTGTGGGGGGCATGTGTGGTGTGTGTGTGTGTGGGGCTGTGGTGTGTGTGTGTGGGGGGCTGGGTGGTGTTGTGTGGGGGGGCTGTGTGGTGTGTGTGTGTGGGGGCTGTGTGGTGTGTGTGTGGGGGGCTGTGTGGTGTGTGTGTGTGGGGGGGTGTGTGGGGGGCTGTGTGTTGTGTGTGTGGGCTGTGTGTGTGTGGGGCTGTGTGGTGTGTGTGTGTGTGTCGGCTGTGTGTGTGGGGGGGCTGTGTGGTGTGTGTGTGTGGGGCTGTGTGTTGTAGTGTGTGTGTGTCTGGAGGGCTGTGTGTTGTGTGTGTGTGTCTGAGGGCTGTGTGTTGTGTGTTGTGTGTTGGGGCTGTGTGTTGTGTGTGTGTGTGTGGGGCTGTGTGTTGTGTGTGTGTGGGGCTGTGTGTTGTGTGTGTGTGAGGGGCTGTGTGTGTTGTGTGTGTGTGGTGGGGCTGTGTGTGTTGTGTGTGTGTGAGGGGCTGTGTGGTGTTGTGTGGGTGTGTGGGGCTGTGTGTGTTGTGTGGGTGTGTGGGGCTGTTGTGTGTTGTGTGTGTGTGAGGGGCTGTGTGTTGTTGTGGGTGTGTTGTTGGGGCTGCTGTGTTGGTGTGTGTGTGTGTGTTGGGGCTGTGTGTGTTGTGTGTGTGTGTGGGCTGTGTGTTGTGTGTGTGTGTGTGGGCTGTGTGTTGTGTTGTGTGGGGCTGTGTGTTGTGTGTGTGTGTGGGGGGCTGTGTGTTGTGTGTGTGTGTGTGGGGCTGTGTGTTTGTGTGTGGTGTGTGGGGCTGTGGTGTTGTGTGTGTGTGTGTGGGGCTGTGTGTTGTGTGTGTGTGTGTGTGGGGCTGTGTGTTGTGTGTGTGTGTGTGGGGTGTGTGTGTGTTGTGTGTGTGTGGGGCTGTGTGTTGTGTGTGTGTGGGGCTGTGTGTTGTGTGTGTGTGTGTGGGGCTGTGTGTGTGTGTGTGTGTGTGGGGATGTGTGTGTGTGTGTGTGAGGGCTGTGTGTGTTGTTTGTGTGGGGCTGTGTGTGTTTTGTGTGTGTGTGTGGGATGTGTGTGTTTTGTGTGTGTGTGTGGGGCTGTGTGTGTTTTGTGTTGTGTGTTGGTGTGTGTGTGTGGGGGGCTGTGTGGTGTGTGTGTGTGGGGGGCTGTGTGGTGTGTGTGTGTTGGGGGCTGTGTGGGTGTGTGTGGGGGGCTGTGTGTGTGGTGTGTGGTGTGTGTGTGTGGGGGGCTGTGTGTGTGTGTGTGTGGTGTGTGTGTGTGTGGGGGGTGTGTGTTGTGTGTGTGTGGTGTGTGTGTGTGGGGGGCTGTGTGTTGTGTGTGTGTGGTGTGTGGGTGTGGGGGGCTGTGTGGTGGTGGTGTGTGTGGGGCTGTTGTGGTGTGGTGTGTGTGTGGGGCTGTGTGGTGTGTGTGTGTGTGGGGGCTGTGTGTGTTTTGTGTGTGTGTGTGGGGCTGTGTGTGTTTTGTGTGTGTGTGTGGGGCTGTGTGTGTTTTGTGTGTTGTGTGTGTGGTGTGTGTGTTGGGGGGGCTGTGTGGTGTTGTGGGTGTGGGGGGGCTGTGTGGTGTGTGTGTGTGGGGGGCTGTGTGGTGTGTGTGTGTGGGGGGCTGTGTGGTGTGTGTGTTGTGTGTGGTGGTGTGTGTGTGGGGCTGTGTGTTGTGTGTGTGGGGGGCTGTGTGGGTGTGTGTGTGTGGGGGGCTGTGTGGTGTGGTGTGTGTGGGGGCTGTGTGTTGTGTGTGTGGTGTGTGTGTGGGGCTGTGTGTTGTGTGTTGGGGGCTGTGTGGTGTGTGTGTGTGGGGGGCTGGGTGTGTTTTGTGTGTGTGTGTGGGGCTGTGTGTGTTTTGTGTGGGTGTGTGGGCCTGTGGTGTGTTTTGTGTGTTGTGTGTGTGGTGTGTGTGTGTGGGGGGCTGTGTGGTGTGTGTGTGTGGGGGGCTGTGTGGTGTGTGTGTGTGGGGGGCTGTGTGGTGTGTGTGTGTGGGGGGCTGTGTGTTGTGTGTGTGTGGTGTGTGGTGTGTGGTGGTGTTGTGGTGTGTGTGTGTGGGGGCTGTGTGGTGTGTGTGTGTGGTGGGGCTGTGTGGTGTGTG